ATCCTTGAAAATATTATGCTAAGTGAAAGTCAGTCACAAAAGTCCACATGTTGTATGGTTCCATTTACAGGAAATCTCCAGAATAGGCAAATTTAGAGGCAGAAAGTAGATAAGGGGTTGCATGGAGCTTGGGGATGGAGGTACAGGAGAGGACTGAGTGCCACTCTAATGGGTACAGGGCTTCTTTTAGGGGGGCCTAAATGTTCTAAAATCAGATTGTGGTGATGGTTGAGCAACCGAACACACAAAGAAAAAACACTGGATTGTACATTTTAAATGGGTGAATCCTATGATAAGTGAATTATGTCTCAATGCGGTTGTAAAAAAAAACAACTGCTTGGATATAAACCTTGCAATTAACTCACCTTCTCTATGACATTCCCCTTATAGTGACCTCAGCTAATTTCTACTCCTTTACTTCCGTTAAAATCAGAACTATTACAGTGAGTTTATACTTTTTGGTTATTCTGGAACCTAATTATGTTGAGAAACTGACTGAAACTTAATAAATTCTATTACACACGGACTTCTGTCATTCCAGTACTTACTGTTGGAATCAGATTTGTCTTTCTTGGGAGCCAGACGCCCAGAGCTTGGAATTATTCGTTTGCTTTATGGAAGCTCCCTAACTCGTTTCACTTCTCAAACTAGACTTTAAGCTCCAAAGTTGAATCCTTGACTTCCATTCCTTCCGGATTTCGCCGCGGAATGTAAAAACTCCAGAAAATCTTTACTAAACGCCTGCTGAAAAAAGGCTTCTGAGCATGCCCGGCTTGGCCAAGTCAATTCAACAACATTCCGGAACAAAAACTATAGTTCCCGCGTTAAAAGGTGGAAAAACAGAAGAGACAGGCACAATGCCTAAGCATTCGCTCTAAAAGGAAAGGCAAGGTTCAAGGGCTAAGCAGAGGTGAACGACAGCACTTAGACAGCTCAAACTTCGCACTTGGTAGAGTGGTGTTGAGTCAGAACGACCAAAAAAAAAAGCAAAATTTACTAGATTAACGAAAGAGGGGAGGTCAACTGGGGACGAAGGATACCGATGACGTAGGCTAACCATACGTTTTTCTAAAGCAGCCCTATCCAAAAAATAATACTAAGATGACCAAGACTTCAGCGTCAACACTAATAATACAAGACATACTGTGATGAAGCTGACTTCGAAGTTCCCTTTTTCAAACGAAAAAGCCAAGCCGCGGCCAAGATACAACCACCACCAAGGTTTGCTAAGCTCTCAGCTCCTGCCTTCAACCATTTCCACCGCCATCTTCTAGATAAGAACCCAGAACCCTTTCTACAGGGCTTTCAGCAGCATCACCTCCGTGCAGAGGCCGGGGAGGCTGCGATTCCCAGGTCTCCCAGATGGCAGAGGAGGAAGCCTCCTCCTTGCTCCTTTCCGCGCCTGCTAGACGCGTGCAACGGGCCGCCGTCCTCCTTCCCCCAACCCGACCCCGGCCCCCGGCCGGATTTTCCAAGGTCTGACCCGAGGGGGCGGCCAGGCCCGGTGCGCGGGCCTCACCTGCACACGCCGCGGATGCATGGCTCCAGCCAGATGCGGTAGGCGGTCTCGATGTGCTCCTGCGACACCTCCTCGGGCCGCACCGTCTCCGCCCAGCGCCAGGCCGCCTTCTCCAGCTGCAGCCGCGGGGCCATGGCCTTGGCCCGAGAAGCGCCTCCCGAGCCGGACCGCCGCTGCCGGCGCCGCCGCCGCCCAAATGGTCTCCGCCACCTGCCAGCGATGAGGACCAGGCGCTCCCTGAGCCAGCTGGGCAGTCAATCACCTGTGCGCGCCACTGCCGCCGCGCCCGCCCGCGCCCGACCCGCACGACCGGCCGCAAAGCGCCGCCGCCGACACCCGACACACCCCGCTCCCGCAGACGTTGAAGGTGTACTCCCCGCCGCGGTGGGCGCATGCGCGTTCCCAGGAGCCTTTGCGCCTCCCGCGCCTCCGGCCCGAGGGGCGGAGGAAAGGGAAGCAGCGGTCCGAGAGAGACCTGCCACGTCCTCACTGGCGCTGCTGGGGAAGCAGCGTCTCAGCCCTTTCTAACTTCTAACTTCTAACAAGCGGGCGCCTCGAGAGCGGAAGGTTGCCTATGCTTGCTCTGTGGTACTTCCCCTTTAACCGTGAGGGATTCACGCGAGAGGCTACTCAACGCACACCATAGGTCCGCTGGACTACGGGGTGGGAGCTGAAACCGGGTCACCAAAGAAACCAGGGTGGGCTCTCTGGAGGGAGTTTTAACTTGAGCCTGGACTGGTTCCGACTGCTTCCCTGCGTCCTCTTGACATCACGGGACGTTCTGGCCTTTTCGTCAACGAGAACTGGACTACGTGCCCCAGCATGCATTGCGTGATGCCACTCAATGGGTGCGGGGCATGCTGGGATTTGTAGTCTTCGAGATGGGGAGGGCTGGGTGTGCGGCGGATTGTGCGGGGGCGCACGTGGGTGCCGGGGCGGGGTTTCTCTGGCTGGGAGGGTCGTCTTTGCAGCTGGCTGACTCTCCTCGCTGCTGTTCTGTTTGATGATTTCCTAGTTCTTTCTTGAAGCTCATTTCTAGCTGCCGGGTTTAAAAACATTCCTCTTTTGCAATTCTTGCCCCAGGATATAAAGAGTAGCCTTATCAGAATGCTTTGCAAACTGTAAAGGGCACTGCTAGAGTGAGGATTTCGAGGACTTTACATTTGAATGAAAGCCCTACGGGGGTCTAAGCACTAATTTCTGACTCTGCAGCTTACCAGCTGGGTAACCTTGGACTGGATGCTTAACGGGTGCTATTCATTAGTTAACATTCACCGAAAGCAGGACGAACATTAAGACATGATCCCTGCCGTTGGGCAAGGGTGAAAGGAGAGCGTAGAAACACAAAATAAGGTCCCCTTCCTAGCCCTTGGAAGGTTTGGAGTACTTGGGAAAAGGACCTTCCAGAAGAGGCAACTACTAAGCCCACCCTTAATAGATGAGGAGCCAGGATAGAAGAAGGGCACCATTCCAGATAGAGAGAACCGCAAGGAGCAAAGGCACAGAAGAGAGAAACTTCTTTGTGTGAGGCCACAAATTCTGAGACAGGGAAAGGTGAGAGGTAAGGCTTGAGAGGCAGGCCAGGACTTGGCCTTTATCTGAGGGACTCATTGAAAGGTTTAAAGCTGTTGAGTGATAAATGGAGGTTTGCGTTTTGCATAGCTTCTTCAGTCCGGGTCAAGGTCAGAGACAGAGGAACCTCTTAGACTATTGCAGTAATACAGGCCAGAGATAATGAAGGCCTGAACTGGGGCAGTGTAATAGGTGTGGAGAGAGGAGACAAATTTGGAAGATACTTAGGAAATGGAATTGCTACAATTTGATGATGTTGGTCTAATCAATGTCTATTCACCTTTATTTGACCTTCAAGTCTGTCACAGCCCTTTCCACGGTGCTCACAGCTCCCTGTGTCATCCATTGCATCACTTAGCACAGATTGACAATGTGAATATTATTCACCATGCTGTCTCTAGTATATTCTAGTTTTCTAACTTGAGTAATTAAATGAATAGAGTTTCCCAAGTGAGATAGAAACTACAGAAGAAGGAGCAAGTTTTGAAGGGAGATGATGGGGGCGGGCTGGTGGCGCAAATGGTTAAGTGGGCGAGCTCTGCTGCGGCGGCCTGGGGTTTGCTGGTTCAGATCCCGGGTGCGCACCGACGCACCGCTTGTCAAGCTATGCTGTGGCGGGGTCCCATATAAAGT